TTTTTTTATAGATATTAAAAATTTAGGCTCTATGACTTGTATACTATGTCTATCACAGTCTATAGGATTTTGAATCGCTGCATGCATTCAAATTCAAATTAGGTCCACCCACACCCCACGGCCAGTGTAGCTGTAGCTGTCAGCTCGCTCAGAAGTGTGAAAGCTTTTGCCGGTGAAGGTGTGTTATACGATCGGTCCATAAAGAAGTGTTGATCGGTTCAAAATGACATAAGAACAGGTTCTTTTGAATAACCTATGGATTGGCACCATGCTTTTGCGGCCCTGCTGTGTTTCACGGCTCTGCCGGCTTTCACGGCTCTGTCGTGTTTCGCGGCTCTGCCTGTGTTCCGCGGCTCTGCCGTGTTCCACGACCCTGCTGTGTTCCGCGGCTTCGCCGTGGAGTGTTCTCTTCAACAGGTGCTAGGGAGAGTTCAAATTAGGCAGGCAGATTGAGTTAGGCAGGATTTTAATGATTAATGATAAAGAGCCAATTAATTAAAGTGATTAATTGAAGTAATTAAAGTGATTGAAATGATTAATTAAAGTGATTGAAGTGATTAATTAAAGTGATTGAAGTGATTAATTAAAGTGATTGAAGTGATTGATTAAAGTGATTAACAATTATAACTCAAAACTCTGTCGTGGGCCGTGGGGCCGCATTGGACTGGTCTTCAGAGGCCCCCGCAAATTTGAAAAAAAAAAAAAGAGTCAGCAGGTTCTCGTCCGGTTGACCAGTTCGAGCTGCAGTCGACGACGGTCGTAAGTAAGTTCCTAAGCCTACCTCTTTAATTTCAATTTTGAAACTCGTGATAACTGTGTTCTTGAACTCTAAGAATTAATCAATAGCGCGACATTGGTAACTTCGAGAATGTCGCGCCATAAGAGGCGGAAGGAGAGTAGCCTGTCTTCAGATGAAGGCAGCAGCTCTTCTTCTTTGCCTGAACTAGTTGAGACTGTTGAGTCGCCTTTGCTGGTGGGAGATAAATCAAAAGATCTTGTTTGTGTCCCAGAAACATCTGACTCACCATCATTAGTTCCACTTTCGGCAATTCCTGACTCAGCTTTGGGGAGATCCACACTCAGGATGATGCAGGCATGGAATATATCTACTTGGCGAGCTGCGACTGAATTTTTTGAGCCGTGATTTTATGGATTTGCCAGCCGTGATTCCATTTCTATGAGCCGTGATTCCATTTCACCGAACCGTGAGTTCCATATCTTGGCCATGAAAAGCCATTTACGAGGTGCAAATTTATTTACAAAGTCCATGCACGTGTTACCCCAAATCTCTAATTTTACCCTTAAGCAGTCAAACGGCAACAATAAAATTTGTGTCTACTGTAAGTTCAGCACACATTAATGCAGTCTGACATAGTGGCAAACCAGAGCTTTTTTAGAATCAGCTCATTTTTAATTTCCTCATTTACTCAAGATTTAAACTGATTTCTTATGTATGATAACACTGGTATCCAGGATACTTTACTGGTCTACTGATTATAATAGGACTCAAAAATGAACTTGAGGGAGAGTCTAAAAAACTTTCTAATTTGCCACTATGCAGTCTGACCGCTTTGACATGACCGCAACTATGCGCGATCTTCAACAAAACGTTTCGTTGATTTGTTTACATTACAATGTTTATGTTTTTTCTGCAAGATATTTTTGGCGGGAACGGTAAAGCAATGCGGATTGCGCCATGCGGAAGTTGACAATTTTATGAAATGACATGTTTGCAAAGTGCAAACCGCGATTTTTTAATCAAATAAAAATTTATGACATTTGAGCCGCGAGATTTCATACCTACTGAAATTATATGATATATGAGCCGCGATATTTCAGACAAAAATAGGACTTTTCCAGACTAGGGATGATGTATGTTTTCGGTGAATTTTCCCGCGCATTTTCACTTTTTTTAAGCCATTGCTGTGCACAGTTGGCGCAATGTAATGAAAATTGATTCTCTTCGCGCACGTGTTCGCGCAATCCCGGCCATCAATTCTACGTTGCGCTGCTGCGCACGAGCAGTTTGTGGAGGAACAGACGTAATAGTGGTAATACTCAGTACAGTATGCCTTTAATTATCTTTCAATAATATATGATTTTTCTTGATACGGAAATTTGGTGAATGAGAAATCTAGAACTTTATATTAGAAGAAATTTTCTTCAAAGTCATATGGCAACACTGAACACCATCTGTTTACATTTCGTATGTATAGTAGCCGCAGTTTACGATTACCATACGTTCCGTATCTGACAAGCGGAAGAGTCAGAAGTAACCCGGACATGTCTTACATTTTATTATTGTCAGTTCGACTCGCGTAGTGGATATAAACTTTGATCTTTGATGACCAATGAAATATAACTTTTGAATAGGGAGACTTCATGTTTATCATACCACAAGTAATGATCTTTATTTAATTAGAGCCGCGTTGCCGCGCATCCATATTTAAACTATTTTAGCTTTCTAAAGTACGGCGCACGGCACATTTTTTTACCAGCATAGTATGGTGCACCGTGCAGGTCGTTAAAATGACAAAATAAATTCCCCGCGCACCTGGCACATTTTCCTGACCATGGGGAAGATCAGTTGCTGCTGCCGCTGGTGGAGGGACTGGCCTTTCCACAGTTCCCCGGAACAGTAACTTTGAGGGTTTTTGTGCTGATGATGATGACATAGGTGAAATCACTCTTGGATCAGAAACTTCAGATGATGAGCATGAGATCCTAACGCCTGCCCAGAGATCAAACTCTCATAAAAATAAGAGAAACTTTGCAGAGCTTACCAAGGAGGGAGAAAGTCTTGCTCCATCTTATAATTCCACTGGGTCCAGGTGAGTTATTATTATTGAACCAGTAGCAGATGCTCGCCCGGTTGAAAAATTTTTTTCAAATGACTTAGCTTTAAGTAAAGCTTTAGCAGACTCCCCTTTTGACAGAGCAGGAATTGCCAAATTTAGCAAAAATCCTGGGCGTAAGATCTTAGTAATTACCTTGAAAGATGAGCCTGATGTTGGGATGTCTGCTCTGCCAAGTGTCACTCAACTTGGGTCCTGGACCATAAAATGCCGTGTGCCTTTCAATCACTCCAAGTCAGTTGGAGTTATTGGTCCCATGGTGAGGATGTCACAAACGATGAACTTGCTGAAGCTCTGGATTTGGCTGGCTACTCTGGTGCCTCTGCAGAGAGAATTCAAAAAGGCAAAGAAAAGATCAACACCTCCATGTTTAAAGTAACCTTTAATACAAACACCCTGCCAACTTTCATCCCACTTGGGTACCAGTGCTTTTCAGTAGATCCATACATAGCAAAACCCTGGCAGTGCTTCAAATGCCAGAGATTTGGCCACAGTGCTATAAGCTGTAGGAGCGCCCCTAGCTGTGTCAAGTGTGGTGGTGCCCACAGCATTAAAGATTGCAAAGCACAAGGTGCCCCTCGTTGCTGTAACTGTGGTGGTGAACACACAGCCAGTTATGGGGGATGTAGGGTTGCAAAGGAGGCCCAGATGGTTGAAAGAATTCGAGCTCAGCAAGGGATCTCCTATAAAGATGCTCTAATGGTTGTCCAGCGTTCTGAAAATAACCATGATTCTAATAAAATATTTCCCAAGATCCCTAACAGATACATGCCATTATCTGGCCAGCCATCTGCTGCCACAAACCAGCCCAGAACCTGGGCCCAAAGAGTCAAGTCTCAGCATAATCACTCTGTTCAAACAGTAAGCATGGGAACCCAGACCCAAGATGACCATGTCCCTTCCACATTGCAGGGCATAACTGTCAACAAATTTATTGAACTCATGTGTAAAATTATCTCACTGTGTAAACATTCATAAAGGCTAGACATTACCAAAACTGTTACTGACCTAACTAAAGAAACTTTACAGAGTTATAGCCCTGCCATTACTTGCAATAATGTTCCTGTTAGCACAGGTATTGTTCCACAACCTGAACTTAGCACTGGAGAGATCCAGGGCTCTTCTGGAGATCATGCTGGGGTTGCACTTCTGGGAGCGGTGGATGCAGAGATGTTTGAGGACTTCATTGGGCCGTCTCCAATTATTGGAAAACGCCCCTCTAAGGCTACTCAGGGACCCTCCAACCCTGGAGGTAAACAGGGACAAAGCAGAGGTAAGATTAAAGCTAAAGATAGAAATGAAAACTCATTAGATAATAAAGTTAAAACAAACTCCTCTAAAAAATGTCTCCCACCCAAGAATTAAATATTGTTCAGTGGAACTGTCATAGTCTTACTAATAAGCTTAGCAATTTTAAATTAAATATTTACACCAGTAAACCCCATATTGTCTGTTTGTCAGAAACATGGCTCTCACCAAATTATGAACCCAATGTCATCAACTATAATGCAATTTACAAACACAGAGGGGCTCCTCAACCTGGTGGGGGTCTTGCTGTTTTTGTTCAAAGTGATATAACATACCTAGAACAGGTCTTACAACCTTTTCCTCAAGGATTTCTTGAAGTATGTGCTGTTAAAATTTATCTTAAAAACAATGTACCATTTTTAATACTAAATGTTTATAATCCTAATGAAAATATCTCTCCTCAGGAATTCAACCATTACTTTCATCAGCTAGAACCATCCTGTCTCATAGTAGGAGACTTCAATGCACATAGTCCCATCTGGGAACCCGGCAAAACATCAAATCATAGTGGTAGGAGCCTGGAAAACATCTTGCTTAACAAAGCCATTCTCTCATTACTAACACCTCCATCCCTCCCAACATTTTTCAGCACATACCATAACTCTTTCTCAACCCTAGACCTCTCGATAATTTCTACCAATTTGCTGCCTCTAGCATCAGTGAGCGCTGACTGTGACATGGGTAGTGACCACTACTCAGTTATCACCTGTGTTGGCATTGAAGCTCCAACAGTCCACTACAGAGCTCGTCCATCCTGGAGGTTTGAGAGGGGCTCGTGGGGTGCATGGGCTGGGGCCCTGCTACAGAGGGGCATTACACCCTCACACAACTTTGAGGCAGGCTGTGAAGATTTTGTGAATAGTATTGTGTCCTCTAGTGCTGAAGTTTTTGCACAAACAAAGGAAATTGTAAATCCCAGATACAACAAATCATGGTGGACATGTGAATGTGCTCAAGCAGTGGAAGCCAGGAGAGCTGCAAAGAGAGCCTTAATTTCTCAGCCCTCACCTGCCACTCTTATTGCCTTTAAAAGATACAGTGCCAAAGTAAAACGGGAAGTCAAGAAAGCAAAGCAGGAGTCCTGGAGAGACTATTGCAGTAGGATTACATCCGACACACCTATCTCCCAACTTTGGAATCAAGTTAAACGCCTGTGAACACCATTTGTGCGAAAATCACAGCCTTTTATTGTGCCCAATGCTGTCATAACAGACTCTTTTAGCAAAGCTCAAGCACTCTCCCTCCACTATGAGCAACTCCTCACATGTCCAGCACCATCTCCTTACCCGCAACATGTAATCCTCCCTCTTGCTATTGCCCTGCACAATGACACCCACTCACCAATCAATGAGCCTTTTTCCCTTTATGAGCTTGAAGGCAGCATGATTCATCTCAAAAAAACTTCCCCAGGACTAGACCGTGTTCATAATTCTCATCTTATGCATTTACCTCCTGACCACAAGAAGTGGCTGCTTGACCTTTTCAATCAAAGCCTCCATTCCGCTATAGTTCCCAAGTCATGGAAAGTCGCCCTAATTGTGCCCATTCCAAAGCCAGCTAAGTGCCTCACCTCAGTTTCATCATACAGACCCATCTCACTCCTCTCGTGCACCAGCAAACTGTTAGAAGCATTAATCAACAAAAGGCTAGGATTCTTTCTTGAGCAGAATGACTGCCTTAGACCTTCCCAGGGAGGTTTCAGACGTCGCCTTGCTGGGGTGGACCAGATAGCCAGACTTGAGGCCGCCATTTGCACTGCCCTGACGAATAGATCACCACTGGTTGCGGTATTTTGTGATCTGTCCAATGCATTTGATAGGGTCTGGCACACTGGATTACTATTTAAATTGAACCAATGTGGAGTGCACGATGCTCTGCTGAGATGGCTGAGAGCTTACCTAGCTGATCGCTCTTTTTGTGTGCAATTTGAGGGCCAAATGTCATCCATGAGGAAAATTAAATCTGGGGTACCACAGGGAGCAATACTCTCACCCCTCTTATTTAATGTAATGATGCGAGACCTCCCATCGGTGCTGGGGGTGCATACGGCAGACTATGCTGATGACGTTGCTTTTTTCTCGCACGGTCCTGACCTTGTCGTTACTACTGATAAAATACAGACACAATTAAATAAATTCTATGAATGGACAAATATGTGGGGACTATCCATAAATCACCTTAAGACAAAATGCATGTTATTTACAAACAAAAAAGTCACAGCTATTCCATTGTCCATCAATGGCTCTAATCTTGAATACGTAAAGCAACACCGCTATCTTGGGGTCATCCTTGATGCTCCTCGGCTCCGATGGGAACCGCAAATTTCTCCACTTAAATTATCGTGTATACCCATAACAAACTTACTTCAGTATATATCTAGCAGGCATTGGGGCGCTGATAGGGCACTGCTGCTAAAACTGTACAGTGTTCATTCGCAGTCGTTTAGATTATGCAGCTGCCTTCTATGCTTCTGCAGCCCCAACTAATCTATGTAAACTGAATGTAATACAAAATAATTGTCTGAGAATTGCTCTAGGTTGTAGAAGAACCACCCCGGTACCTTCAATGGAGGTTGAAGCTCACATTCCTCCTCTTTCAGTACACAGGAATGAATTATTATGTAAATATTACTTTCGCCTGATACAATTGCCCCGTTGCCCAATTGTAACTGAATTGTTTCACCGAAATGTTCCTCCATGCTTACCTAACAGAGCACTATGCCAACCAATAAGTTTTATCTCTCATGCCCGTGCCATCATGTCCACCTTGCAGATCCCTGTGCCGCATATGCTTGCATCTCCTCTGGTGTCCCCATTGCCTCCTTGGTTCAATGTAGACAAGTACTTTTTGGACCAATTTTGTTCGGCTACTGCCGGTCTAAGTTACCCCATTTTACGGTAATAAACATGAAGTCTCCCTATTAAAAAGTTATATTTTGTTGGTCATCAAAGATCAAAGTTTATATCAACTATGCGAGTCGAACTGACAATAATAAATGTAAGACATGTCCGGGTTACTTCTGACTCTTCCGCTTGTCGGATACGGAACATACGGTAATCGTAAACTGCGGCTATTATACATACGAAATGTAAACAGACAGTGTTCAGTGTTGCCATATGACTTTGGAGAAAATTTATTCTAAAATAAAGTTCTAGATTTCTCTTTCACCAAATTTCCGTATCAAGAAAAATCATATATTATTGAAAGATAATTAAAGGCATACTGTACTGAGTATTACGTCTGTTCCTCCACAAACTGCTACTGCTCGGCAGCGCGACATAGAATTGATGGCCGGGATTGCGCGAACACGTGCGCGAAGAGAATCAATTTTCATTACATTGCGCCAACTGTGCACAGCAATGGCTTAAAAAAAGTGAAAATGCGCTGGAAAATTCACCGGAAACATACATCATCCTGAGTGTGGTTCTGATGCTGCTGTACAAATTTTCTCTGATATGACTAACTCAAAATTTATTGCTCACACAGCAATCTACACGGACGGGTTGCAGATCAAAACCCCCACACCCTCCACATCTGCGGCACTGTTCATCCCATCCAAAGGTGTTCTACTGAGCTGGAAGCTCTGTCCAGAGGTAGAAGTAATAGAGTCGGAGCTTTTTGCCATTCGAGAAACCTTGCATTGGTCTCAGAATAATCTCACAACAGAAAAAATTTTTATATTCACTGATTCACAAGCATCCATTCATCTCATAAAAAATAGACAGCCCTCATGCTACCTTAACCTAATATTTCTAATTCAGAGCAAAATTATGTCTTTAACCTCCTCTCATGAGGTATATATCCAATACATTCCTGGACATAAGGGAATATCCGGCAATGAGACAGCAGATCGTGCTGCCAAGGAAGCCCACTCTCTGCGCTCTGCGGTACCGCACCATCACCGTCATGTCCAGGGAAGAGCTGGTAAGACTTGCCCATGATGGGGTCCAGACTAGCTGGAATCAATCCTGGCTAGATAATGTCAATAACTCAGGCAAAGGCCACTTTCTTACACTCATTAAAAACCAGGTTGGCTTCTGGCCCTGGGCCCATAATAATAAACTCACAGTTGAGACCACCTTAGCCCGGCTACATACCGGTCATGCAGGTGTTAAGGCCCATTTAGCTCGTTTTAAACTCTGTGATAGTCCTCTCTGCTCATGTGGATCCCCTGAAACCATAGAACATTTGCTGTTGCACTGCCCTCAGCATGCCCCAGCACGCTTCCAATTAACTAACACACTGACTCGACTGAATATCCCTGTCACACTGCAGAACTTGCTTGGAGGAGGCCCTTATCCCTGCCCCATCCAGAATCAAATAGTTGATGCCGTAGCCACATTTTTATCTAAACCTACTACTACTACTACTAAACCTTTTCATCTATTATAGCACTGATATAAAATCTCTAGTTCGAACATAACTAACCAACTAAAACTTGTGGGAAACTAACTCCCACATCCCATTCAGTTTCATCCAACTTGCACTAAAACTGAGTGCCAAATTTGATGTAAGCAGAATCACTCTCTGCAGTCGTTTTGGGATCAGCTCTTTACTTAGTCTTTAGTGTACAGCTTGTTGTGACTGCCCTTTGTAAAGATTGTTGCTGCTCACCTCAATATTACTCTTAATTTTTAATCCTTCAGACACATGCCCACAGGAGTTTTGCTTGTTGTGAGGTAGCAACTCACATTGATAAGACCATTTTGGTCGGAAGAAGCTCCAGGCTGTGCCGCCCAGGCTGGACCTTTGGTGGAGCCTACAAACTCATGTGAGGCTGAGTGCAGGGCATGTCAGTGAACACTAACCCGGGATGAAATATGAACATATATTCAAACCTCATTCATTTAAATGCAGCATTTGCCCTTTCCAGTAGCAATATTCTCTTACCAACTCTGCACTCTGAAGTGTCTTATCTCTGAATTTTTGTCCACAGTTATGCAACCCCCGTAAATCACCGTCCTGTCAAGGGGCTACCTTGGACGCATCTCCAGAGCTCCTTCAACTACAAATAGAAGAAGAAGAGCAGAGGTGGGCACTGGGCAGTAGCGTGCTACATGTAGCGGTAGCGGCGCTACATTTAAGGCAATGTAGCGCCACAGTAGCGGTAGCGGTAGCCCCCGCTACATATTTAAGTAGCGATACGAGGTTTTGCAGCTACAGCGCTACCGCTACATTTATAGATAGAGCCTTTAGATTTTACTTAATAGTATTAAATATTATTTAAAAACCAGCATGATACATACATAATGATAATATAAGTTACAGAATAAAACTGTACGAAAGATTTCGGTGTAATGTTGTCAACCTCAGCCTGTTACTAGTGTCAACATGTTAGTTGTTACTTGTTAAGTTGTTACCAGTTACCACTAACCACTTACAGCCTTACAGGTATTTTTTCATGTTTCAGTTTGCTTACAGTTATTTTTATGTTTCACCTTCCCAACATGGATGTCTACTTTAATCTACCAATCTCAAAAATAATCCACATATACATATATACAAATGAAAGACTGATTTTTTATATGTATATCATGTGGATAATTTTTGAGATTGGTAGATTAAGGTAGACATCCATGTAGCCGATGTAGGGAAGGTAAAACATAAAAATAACTAACTTTTATTTACTGTATCTAACACGTACTATAGTTCAGTTAGGTTAATTGCAATAAAGTTGCATTGATATGTTTTGAAATGTTTAATTAAATGTTTATGAGTAAATCCCAATAGCAGAACAATAAATATCTAGAGATTTCCAATAAATTTGGCCATTGTAGCGGCTAATGTAGCGGCGC